CACACACACACACACACAAACACACATGAACACACACACACACACACACACACACACACAAGAACACACAGACACACACACAAAACAACAACAGCAAAACAGCAACAACAACAATACAGTAGCGTTATTAAGGTGTTTGAATACATTAAGTAAAACGTCCAATGACTAATCATTTTGTCCCGATCTGAGGAAAAAAGAGAAGCTTAAGCGCTTGAACTTCAATGATTTTTTTAGGTTCCCCTTTCTTCCAAATATAATACTGAACACACCACAGCAAACAACATTTTAGATGTCGCCTCATTGATTAAATTCCGAATAGGCAAGCCAACTGCCCCAGCCGTAAAGTTAAGCGATAACCATACCCAAGATCGAAGGAATGGAAACTCAAAAGAATGGGATCTTCATAAAGCAAAATATATATTTAAAAAAAATGAAAAAGTGACCAGCCAAAGCAGATTTTCTTCCTTCAGCGCTAAAGTCCCCTCGATCACGCGGATGTATCGATCTCAAATCGACGACCAAACCCCAATGTTATGGCGTTGCTAAGGTGGCACAGGCGATGAAAATTATGACCTTTCTCCCGGGTCTGACTCTGCCAATAAATTATTTGGTTTAATAGAACAACACACACCCCACAAAGACTTTGGGATCGGGTGTGAAAAGTTTCACTTATGTCTCTGCTTCCGTTCTTTACATTAGCGTTAACAGAACCGGATCTGCCTGAATGACGTGTTAACGTAGAAGAATGATGTTGCCAGAAGGCTCTTGAGGGCCGTTCATTCGAATTTATAGCCAGCTAGAAACAGATTAATTTGCATCCCTTCAAAAAGACTTTTTTCCCCCATCTTCTTTAATGGGGCTCTTTTTATCTTAGAGGAAACCATTAACTCACTTGAAATTATGCCGAACAACGTTAAGGATAACTGGTAAAAATTTATGACATGAGGGTTTTTAATTTAAAAAATGTGGATTGCTTGAGGTTTATGGATCGCCATCCACTTGACTGAGATGAAGTGCTGAGTTGAAAGTCGGACTTTAACCTATTCGGTACCGTACTGTTGTCTTCATTTCAGTCGGAAGCCTCTCTTTCTACTATTTCTGAATTGAGAATGGCAGTGCTTTAGCATCTTAAAGGTCCACATTTGCCCTTTGGCCCATGTGCTCATGTGTCATTGCATTCTCTTGAACAACCGCCCCTCTTCCCAACCCTCATACCATGACCCACTCACCCATCCATCCCTACACACACATACACAACACACACACACACACACACACACACACACACACACACACACACACACACATGAACACACTCAAATAAAAGCAACAATCACCAAACCAAATTAATTAATCTTTCTACAGAGCAAGGTAAGAAAACGAAAAAAAGTTGGAAGCAGATTGAGGCTTTTGCAGCGCTATCGACATTATTCAGACACTGTATGTGAAACATAAGAAACAGACAGGAGAGGATGAAGGGTGAAGAGAGGATAAAAATTAATGACCAAGAAATGGAACGAATGAGGAAGAAAGAGAAGGAAGGCGAATATCTGGTGAACAACGGACATGAAGTCTTCCACTCAGAATAAGTAAAGGTGAGCGTGTAACAGTGGTGATGATGATGATGATGATGATGATGATGATGATGATGATGATGATGATGATGATGATGATGATGATGATGATGATGATGATGATGACAGTAACTATGGAACGTATTTTTTAGTTTCCATAGTGTTCTTTATGTTTTTCATCACGTTCCTGATGAAGCCAAAACATATATATCTATAATGTTATGGATATTAAAATACTCAGGCCTTCACTATTTTTTAATCATAAAAAATCAGACTGCCTACAACAACAACAACAACAACAACAACAACAACAACAACAACGACAACGATGACGAGGATGCTGCTGCTGCTGTTTCTGGTGCTGCTGCTGCTGCTGCTGCTGCACCTGAAGATGATGATGGTGATGATGACGTAATGCACAGGTAACCTACTTGGAGTCTCTGGGTTTTGTATGCTGGTCATTGAGCCCTGCATTTTGATGATTAGTTTTGCTTGGCGGTCCATCTCCCTGGAGAAGAGATCAAATATTGTTATTATATCGGAAGAAAATAATGCTCGAAAGCAATTGAAAAAAAGGAAAGAAAGGAATTGATGATATTATATTTAGGGAACCTATAACCAGAGAGTTTTACAGTCATCTGGTATAACTCGACCGAAATACATATATATCGTTAATTAAGTAAAATCAAATCTAAGTTACATTCTTACTGTCAAGGGACTGAAACTGCTAATCAAGTGATTGGAATTCTTGTTTGAAACAACTTTGAAGCTGGATTTCCATTTCCGGCATTTGCACTTGCATGATTATTAAATTTCCATTTTAAGGTGTTGCGTGACTTGTCTTGGTGCAACCTACGGGATTAAGTTATAGTTATCATATTGCCTTTCTTTTGTGCCCTTGCCCAGTTGGAAATGTCCTCATTGTGTGGGTCTGGGGCTATGCTTGCAGAGCGCAAACGATTTTGGTCACGTAAAAGTGAGTTGTGTGCGCTACGGACCAGGTTAACCAAGCAAAAGGGGGGAAAATAGCTAGGCACTGGGATCATGTGCACAGTATACGAATAATATAATAATATTTAATAAAATATTTGTGTAAGTGTTTGACGGTGCTCGCAACTGCATAAGGTCATATGAGCGCGCGGTGCTCGCAACTGCATAAGGTCATATGAGCGCGCGGGATACACTTAGCATTTTCAGTTGGTAGGAAATTTTGAATTTTGCCCGGGTGGCAGCCGAATTCTACTTTTATAGATTTTTAACCACCAAGGGATCTTTAACGTGCCCAAATAGCACACAGCACCTCCGAGATTTTAAGCCCATATCGGAGAAGGGTGGGATTAGATCTTTCCAACCATAGGATCAGGGGTGTTGCTGAAAGACAGTAGTGAGAAGGAGCCATGGGGTAGCAGTAGAAAGGCTGCTTTAGACTACGGGAACACTCCCCCTGTCCCCACCCCCCCCTCCCCGAATATATTGACGAATACACAAAAATGGCCCCTCGGGAATGAACATAAGACAAAAGAGAAAGACCATAGAGATAAGAGAGGAATGATTTTTTAAAAATCTGTCAGTGGACCATTTAGCCACTCGAGCGACTGCTCAAGACAATTGGAGCGGAGCAATACATTTTATTACATGAATGTATTTGAAGGAGCACCGACGGAAAATGCTTTTGAGAGAAAGAAAGAGAAAGAGAGAGAGAGAGAGAGAGAGAGAGA